GTTCCAGGTACCGGCAGACAACAAGCTGTTCACAAGACAAATGACACCTTCATGGACAGAATACAATAAATTAGCGACTCTGGTCATTGTAAAGCAGAACGTGTTTTCTGTTATTGATAAGCAATAAATCACCTGCCCTCTAACAGTTCCTCCCTATAAATCACTTCCGATGAAAGAAACAGATGGTTCCAGCACGCAGCCATTCTTCACCTCAGTCCTGAGCCAGGAGAAGAAATACTCCGTGCCAAGACATGCCCATTTGCACCCGCAGCCTCTCTGCACCAGTGCAGGTGAAGCAGCAGGGCGGCACAAGAGCCGTAACGCCCCGGGGCACCAGCTGCAGCTCCTGCGGACGGGGCTGAGCACATGGAGCTGCAGCAGCACCAGGCACGGCCCCGGTTTGGGCTCCACCTGGGCTGGATCTCTTCTCACCACCCGGACCTCACCTGAGCTGCACAAGCAGCTCCGATCCGCAGGCGTTGTCAGGCTGGCGTCTGCCCCCAGGCTCAAAACCATGGTACGATCCTAATGGGATTCGACTCGCTGTGAAAGGATTAGTTGTGGGATCAAACCCAGACTTTCCTCCAACTCCTGTGTCTTTCTCTGCCCTGCTCTGTCTAGCAGATAGCGAGGCGGAGACAAGAATTGTTGCTTGTACGTGAGGGCTCTGACTGTGCAGCCCTGACAACAGTGGCAGCTGACCAGCTCCCACCTTCTTCCTCCCAATTAGAGGCAATTAACACCTCCTGCTCATCCTTCCTTCTTTTGCCCTTTAAGAATTTCAGAAGCAACAGTGCTACTGCTTGCAGGACATCTTCCCCAGCAGCAGAGAACCAGATGACATTGCGCACTGCAAAGTGATGAAGTCTGTTTTGGAACTGGAGGAAATAGCACCAATCTCTCCTGTCCAAAGAAATTCCCATCAGCAGCCAACTCGACACTTCTCAAAGGGAGCTCAAAAGACGAGCCTGCACTGCAAATAGCGCTCAGCGTGGAAACACAAGGCCTGAAGCACGGGTTCGCTCACGGCAGACTGAAACGTGGTGAACTTGTGAACAAAGGCCCTGACAGCAGCCACCTCCTTAGCAAACGCAAGCAAATCAAGGTCTTCCTAAAAGAAGGAAGACAATTCTTTGGAAAGAGAGATAACCCACATTTCTGAACGTCAGCTTCCTTCCCAGAGCTGCAGCAGCAGGAGGGAGATTTGCAGTGCAGGAAGTGACAGCTGAGGGCTGCAGTTCTGCTCTGAGGTCCTGCGGGTGAACGGCAATGCTTTCCTCCAGAAGCTCACCTGGTGCTCTTCCAGCGAAGCACAGACAGCAAGAGCACCTAAAGGCAACGTGAAAGTGTCTGCACCAGTTATGCTCTTGACAGGCTGCCTTACACAGGCCAGGAAAGGTCAGCACACACACATGTGCTCAAAAAGGCCCTGGAGCAAACTGCTTCCACTCGAGCCTGAGGAAAGAGCGTGTTCTTGCAGTGCTCTTACACTAGCGTCTGCTAAAAGGTCACGTCCTATCCGACTCCACATGCAAAATAAGCCCCTAGGATACTTAATTAGCACAGATTCATCGGTATATGAAAAATTATGACTAAGAGTTATAGCAAAACTCAAGCTCAGAACTTTAGTTACTAAAAAAAACCCAAACCCCAGCAGTTGTATCATGACAGCAAAGTTCTAGACTGACAAGCGCTCCACCGCCACTCGTTTTCGCTGCTCAAAGCACCCTCATGAAATAAAACTGACAAGATCTCAGTACTGTCACAGCTACCACAAGCCATGAATGGCCGGAACCTGTTAATTTGCTTACAAAACAGGCTTTCAATAAAATTATTACTGCTATATAACACATAACATACACAACTGGATGATCCACAAAGATGTGCTACGATAGGTTTGGCAAGACTGAAGGCCTTTCAAGCAGGGTCAGAATTAAAAAAAAAAAAAAAGAAAAAGCAATCTCACTTTAGCCACAAGTGATATTAGAATAGTGACCAGCTCAGAGCAGTTAAAAGGCTTTTAAAATAGGAATAAGCAAAGGATTTGTTGTGTCTAAGGGCAGGAAACTCTGCACAGTTTATTTTGCCATATGTTACCATACCGCTGTAAGATTAAAGCGAAAAAAAAGCGTATGATGTTGTCTAAATGAATCTTCTAGCATTATTAATTTATGTCTGTGCAACAGTATGTGACTAATGTTCACTGGCAAAATTAAATCCAACTACAAAAATTTTGAGATCTGATTATGGCAACCAGGAATTCTACAGACAATGCAGTTTGCCCATTAAGAGCCTACCCCTGCAGCAGTTTTGTAGTATTTTGTTATATTCTTCCTACAAGCAAGAATTTTTGCCCGTAATCAGTATTTTTTTTCCTCTCATGCTAAATAAATCATAATGCTCCATCAGGCCTCGACTTACTAGTCAATGGTAACTTCCACCTCAAAAATCCAAGTCTGGAAACCCATTACTGGACTTACACTGGGTTTATGCCATCTCTGACCAAAACCAGGTGACGAATGGAGTTCATCATCTTTTAGAAGAGGATCTCTGGGTTTTCAGCTCTGCAGTGCATGGGGCTGACTCAATCTAACCCTTATCTAACATGACATTGCCATTGTGATATAAATAGTGTCTTATTTGCCTGCTGCAGAGGAACAATGTTAGTCGAGAAAAGGTCAAATGGTTTTGCCACGGGGAAAACAGTAAAAATCTTTTGTGGTTTAATACTGCTCTTTTTTTATTTTTTGGAAGACGGGAGACTCCAGGTGCGAGTCACGTAGGAGCGAAAGAAATACAGAAGAGAAGACAAGGCATGTTTATCTAGTCTGCAGTAGCACAAAGCAATAATATTTCAATCATTCCTTAAGGCCCAGGATGAACTACTAATATCCACCCAGCATCTCGCTGATCTCACGTCTACCCGAACCCTGCAAACTCCAGGTGAAGTCTGCTCAGACCTGACTACTTTGGCAATGCAGAGGTAAGCTACAACCACGGGCAAGTCTTGACACACTTCATGAATGTATTTTTTTCTCATTCCACAATGCGTACTGCATTGACGCTTTCAACTAATAAAGCATTAATTGAAAGCATTAATAGACAGGACTTTTACCCATAGCTAACCATCAAGTTGATCAAGTTTTAGTCAAATGGGAAAAATATCCAGTTTTAAGTCTTTGAATACATTACAAAACGTGAGGTTACTGCTACTAACTCTTAGATAAGGGCTATACAAATATCCAGCTGCTATTTGTTAACATTGCTTTCAAGCATTTTTCTCACCCTACAGAACAGAAAATAGCTTTGTTACAAAATCTGCATGCAAGGCAGGCTGACATATTCATACACAGTTGAACTAGAGAAATACATACAGCGAGGAAGCCAAATTTCTACAAATTACTATGTGAAGGTGACCCAAAACCCAATTTATTGCTGTCTTTTATTGTTTGCTTTTATTGCTTCCAGTGCATTGGTTATCTCTGCACATGACAATACTTCAGTACTAATGGAAATCAGTAAACAAGGTCGCATGTGTGTCAAACAGTTGCTTTGCATTTTCTAAAAATACTTGTAGGTCCCATTTGCTAGAGTGGCACCGACCTCTCCTTGTGTCACCTGCGCTGCCTGTGCTCTTCACTGGGTGTAGCTGTACCTACAGCTCAGGGCATGCAGGGAATACATTCTACTCAGGGGAAAAAGGGTAATTGCTAAACTTGTTATTAACCAAATTAGAAAGTAAAATAATTACAGCAAATTTCCCCTTGGGCCTTCTCCTTCAGACTACAAAAGACTTCTAAGATACAGCAAACTAGTCCATCCTTCCCAGGAAATACCACACTTTGAAAAGTAATTGTTTATTATTCAGTTAAGTTACAATGCGTAAGGTGAATGAGATAAATGAAGCATCTAACTTAGACTGGAGTCGTGTGTTTGGCCCTGACCCTGTGATACACGGGCAGCTTGCAGGTCATTTTTGCAAAACATGTTTATGCAGTGACATTGAGCCTTCAGGCTAAAACATAACGTAGTGCAAAGAGAGAGAACGCAGCAGGTCCCCTCAGCTAGCCACCCTCTTCAGGCTACATAAGAAAATCTGAGATGCAGCTGCAAAGGCAACAAAAGACATGGAACAGCAGTAGTCTAGACAAAGCGAGTGAAAGGCTCCAGTTATTCCAGCCTTAAAGCATCTCCTTCAAGTCGTGACTAGCAGAGGGATTTCACTTTCCACACCACTTTGTGAAGGTGGAGGGAATCTCACCAGCTCTTGAACGCAGCTAAGTCCTGGGTGACACGCACAGACGCACGACACACTTCGAGCAAAAAGTGCCTGCACTGAACTATCATTGAGAGAAAATACAGCAGAGGGAGGAGTGTTCAGCAGAGCACGCACGTTCTGGCATTCTGAACTCAAACCACAAATTTTCCATCCTCACAAAAAAGATTAAATAAAATTTATGAACTGTAGAACTTTATTCAGACTTCTGAAAAGTTCCTGGAAATTCTGAGGATGTGAATTTTAGTTAAGAAGACGGAAATCAAGACTTTGAAAGAGAAATGAAGACAAGCTCGATATTTCTGTAATAAACCAAAACCCAGTGCCAAAGCTCAAGGAAATTCAATGGCTCTTACACTGTTCTTAGTCAAGCACTACACATTCAGGATTTACATTTTCCAACTGCTGTCTCAAATTTTATTTTTTTATTTTAAATGCATAATGGGGAAGTAATATAAGATAGTTTGTACCTTCGTGTCCTCAGGCTTTTTTTGTTCATTTGTTTGCTTTTAAATAAGAAAACTATACAGATAACGACTGGTTATGATTACCAAGAAATACGTAAAGAAAATGAGTTTTTCAAAATGCCCCATCCAAATGCATTAGCAATTAGAATCTCCTCAAGTTTCCATTAGTCTGTCAAAACAAGAAATAATCTTATAGCAGCTATGACTAGAACTCTTAAAGATTGTCACATTGATTGAATTTCAAAGTATAGACTTACAAATTCATAGTCTCCATCCTGTGGTACTTTCCAATCAGATGAATTTTTCGTCTGGCCAGACACATTCTTCCCAAAGCTATTGATTTGATTCTCCTTCTCCTTCTGCTCAAAATATTCAAGGAATGATGGTTTGGCTGGCTGCATCGTTTCATCCCTCCCTGGAAATAATAAAAATCAAAAACAAAAACAAAACAAAAACAGTTGTTATGAAAAATATATTTTCAGTTATACAGCTTTTACATCATGCCCAAAAATGATTTTGTTTTTTAGCACACACTAAATCACACAGTACTGCTGAAGTACTTGCTAAAATACTATTTTTGCAGCAGCTTTTCAATAATAAAACTGACTGTACAGTGTGAAAACTGGAGAAGAGAAGCTTAAAGCCCACCACAGAAGTGACTGCAGTGCTGGAAGCCTTGGCCACTAGCCCTGCAATCCCCAAACAGAAGCACCAGGGAACTGAGCTCCCTGCGCTCAATGCTAGAACTAAACTGCTACCAGTTAGAGATGTTGAGGTTTTTTCATCCCAGGCAGGTTGTGTGCACTGCAAAATATGCAAAGTTCTACAACTAAACTGTGCTGTTTTACAAGCAGAAACTCATCTTTATATTTACAGAAGAGTACAGAAGTGAGGCTTTCAAAGACCACGTCTGCCATACAAATACCACGGAACTCGCCTCAGGTAAAAGTAGTCAAGTTCTACATTTCTTGGGTCGAAAAGATTAATTAGTTTGCAAAGCTTATTATCCAACTGTTTATAAAAAGAAAGAAGTTATCAAGTTTACTGCCCTAGTTTTCCTTTCCTAAATTAATTCCTCTGGACACACTTTCTTAGAGGATTACTCAAATAAGCCAGACATAGAGATTACCTATTCAATTCTAGACTGCATTTAAGAAACTTGGGGTAATAAGAAACAGGCAAGAGAGACAGAGGAGTCACAGCAGCCCCGTAAATACAAATATTTTGATTTTTAAGAGCGAGTCTCCTAAGTCTCCCAAGCATCATTCTCAATAAGAAAGGGTTTGGCTATACTGATGGGAGAAGAAGGGATACAAAGAGAGGATGTAGTCAGGAGTGTAAAGCTTTTTTTTTGGTTTGGAGAGAGGAGGTGGGCTCCATGAGCGAGGGCAGCTTTGGCTGGAGAACTGATGGCAGCGGAATGGGGAAGGAAGTGATGGTAAGCGAGAGGATGAAAATACCGACTCCTGGCACAGGCAGCATAAAAGCCAGTACAGGAAGGAAACTCAAAGTTTAAGTTCACAGCAAGTCAAGACCCAAAGTATCTCCAAAAAGATTTCTTTCCCGGTGCAACTGGTACGGCATGAGATGCTGCCCAGACTACTCACAGTTCGAACTGGCCTGGTCTGGGAGTTACGGTGCAGCTAATGGCTTGGAAAGCGTCTCAGTCTGAGCGAAGGGGCAGGCTGGCACAGCAAACGCGCCCTAACAGGGCTGCACCACAAGCCGTGACAGCTGCCAACGCGGCTAAAGACCAGTCGCAGCTTTACGCCTTTGTGCTGCTCTTCATAAGAAAGTGCTTCACAAAATCCCTGTGAGCGTAACGGAAGCAAGCACTGTGACAGGATCTTCGTCAAAATGTTTCTGTTCTGATAAAATAAGGTTTCTAGACACTGGAGTAGGTTACTTAAACTTGAAATACATGGGGTTTTTTAGGCAATGCAAAAAACGATCATTTTCAGAAAGTAGGATCAGGACTACAGTTAACAGAAAATGGCATCAAATAGTTTGATTCTGGACTGTGGCAATAAGCCGAGTGTTGAATGCCACATGTCTGAAACAACTATAACCTGTCAGGCAGGCAATTAGCCAAAAGTTCAGAGCTTCAGACAAGCACAGCGGGGATGGAGCCATCCTCTGACGGGTCTGTGGGGTCCGTGTAACACAGACTCTCTTACAAGAGTTTGTCCAGAAGGCACAAGACAGCCCACACTAAGGACATTCGGCAATGCTTTTCCTCCTGAAAAAATAACAGCTGCTCTGGAAACCCATTAAGATTTAATCACCGAATATTATTCTTGCACATAAAATTCCCACCCAGTGAACTAGAACTTCTCTGGCACACTGTCTGATCCTCAGACAACTGTATGAATTCCTTGTTCAGCTACGAGATACTTTAGGAAGTTATTTGTCTATAGACATGTTAAATAGAGAACAAATTTCCGCAAAGCATGAGAAATTTTGGCAGGATAATTTGGGTTGTGATTCTCGGAGAAGTGTGGTTCTACATAGCCTGAAATGTCATGATGCATTTTGAAAACGCCCTGCATCGTGCTGCCTCTCCAGGGTCAGCTAAAAGCTCAAGCATGAGCTGAAGTGCTTATATTTTTGCGCTATGACAACTGGAGCAAAGACAAATTATTCTACCCCTGGCAGTAGTTCCCCTTTTTTAAAAAACATAAACACAAAACTCATCGTACAGAATTAGATCAAGAAAGACACCTTCAGACAGACTGCGTGAAGGTCAGTCAGGAAACACGGCCGTGAAGCGGAGAACAGATTTGCTGTGGGGAATAATTACTGAAATACAATAGCAATCTAATCACTGCTAAGTGATAAAACATTTATTTAGACTGAAGTAAATATACCCCTTGTATTCTGCTGCAGTCCAGCCTGTTTGCAGCAGGAGGCAGGTTGTTATGGTCAATTGTGGCAATGTTTAACACTAACATATTTTGTGGAAATAGAGGAATTCATAACTACCCAGGCTAATCTATACACATCTTACTGACAGCCAGTCTGGGTCTCAGTGATTCAGGCTTCCTAGGAAAAGAAAGTAAATTAAATCAAGCTTTTGCTCTATGTTGTGAAAACAACTGTTTGCAGCACAGGAGACTTTGAAAGCAAACGCTTCCCTCCAGTGACATCTGCTTATTCAGTTCTTTTTAAATCTTTTTTAAAAGGACTGTTCGCTTATACCAGAGCTTATTTCAGACCGTTGCTTAAAATAACCATGCTCATCTCCCCACATCTTGCATTTTACCAAGAACTGCAACATTTGTAAGTAACTAGTTACAGCTACTGAAAAACAACGCACTGTAGCGTCACTGAATTACTGAAAGGCAGAGCCAAACCCAGGCTTTATCTAACAAAGCTTCTGTTTTCATGCACAAGAGAAGCAGACAAAGAAGGAAGCACCTGAAGTGGTGGTAGCAGGTTACAATCCTGCAGAGAGCAGCTGACTTTTTCAGCCCCACCAGTACAAGTGACCAAAAAAGCTGGGAGGCTGTAGCAGAAGGCTGCTGGGACACCAGAGGGGTCTCTGCCCTGCGGAGAGGGGTAGGTGGGAAGGACTTTGTTCAAGCTAGGGAGGGCAGCTCTAGCTGGGGTCTCTCACCCCAAGAGGCCAACAAAGCCCCACTCTCCCCAGCGACAGGATAGAAGTGACGGTCTGAACTGTGGCCAGGGCAACCTGGCTGAACATCAGGAAGAAAGTTTTCAGGACAGGGATGGTTGTGCAGTGGAGTGGGGCTGGAGCGACTGTGCAAGGCCCTGAGCAACCAGACTCGATCCCGCACGCAGTCCTGGGACCACTGAGGGAACCGCAGGGATCACCTCCAGCCATGCCGAGCTCTCCCGCAACTCACGCTCTTAACGCCTGCTGTCACCTTGCAGTCACCTCAGGCCTTCCCAATGCAGGCAGCATTTAATCACCAATTTCAGTACACTTAGTCACCAATTTTATTGTGTTTCTAAACATCAATATGTAAAACTGCATTGTTGTTTAATGCTGTTTTGGGGTGTTTTTTCTTTTTTTTTCTCTCTTCTTTTTAAACTGACTATAGAGATTGCTAACTGACAAATAAAAAATGGAAAAAAGCTATAATAAACTAAAAATAGCCAGAATACAGATCTAAGATGTCTGAAATTTTAGTTGCTGCTATGATCTCAGCAGGAGTGCACATGCAGCAAGACTGATAGAAACGCTTCTGGATACAGACAGACACTACACCAAATCAATTGTCATCCCAGCCCAACTGGATTTCTTTTCATCAATCTTGGCACTTAACAGCAGTGTTATCTTTCCAAAGATGATCTGCTATTAATTCAGCACAAGAATCACACCACTACATCTTTAAGATTTTGATAACAGGGAGCTGAAGACAAAAATCGATCACTTCTATTTGTAGCAGCAGATGCTGCTGAAAGATGACACTGCACTAAATGTGTCTGTGCCAAATAGCATTTAACTTCCTACTTTTATAGGGTTAGGCTAAAATACAAACATCTGACAGAAAGTGAGATCACAACGGTGGCAGAGAAGTGCCTTTTCTGAGAAGGTCACCCTGTGGTGACAAGAAAGGCTTCGCCGTGCATTTATTTTGGAACCTAAAGAGTTGCTTATAAGGATGAGCCACGAGAGCTCCCTGGAGCCATTAATGGTCTACCATTTCGATACGCAGTCATCTTTGAGGAGCTGTATTAATTACACAAATGGAACACCACAGCTCTGCTGGAGCGGGGCCAGCTGACTGCAGAATTGCAGGTTTGGGCCGGCACAAGCGCCCCAGGCCCCAGGAGGGGCGCTCAGCCTGCCGCGCAGCATGAAAAAAGCACAGGCACTGCCTGGCACAAAATCACGTTTAGAGAAGTGTAAGATCATCGGTATCGTTGTGAGTGAGAACAAAGAAAATATGATGTTGGTGGGTCCAAAGGTAGAGAATGCCGTAAATTGTGAACGACAAATATCCCCTTAGACTCTGATCTTTGAGCTAAGCTGACTACTGATTGTACCACTCCTCTGCCAGGCTGGAGCAAGGGCAAGTTTTAAGGACAAACAACGTGCTCCCTCCCTAAAAAATGTCACCTGTCTGAATACTTGAGGGAAGGGAAGAGGTCAGTTTTAGCAGCTGACTGCAGCACACAGGTCTCCTTACACCAAGCAAGAGATGACAAGGAAGGTGTAGGCAGCCTTCAAGCCATTTATACTTCCATATGATGCTGCCCAGGAAGTAGAATGATAAAGAAGAAACAGCACAGTCAATTAAACCAGCAAGAAATTTACTTTTTTTTCCCCAGCAGTAAAGAATATCCATGAAACCAGATTGTTCCATATCACCTAGTCCCAGAAATCAAAGCACTCATTTTGTTGATTTTGTCAGATTAGCTCTCAACTGAAAATTTTCAGAAGCTCGT